ATCTCCTCATCACTCGCGCTGCTCCTGTTCTGCTGCGTGTCTGTTCTCTTCCTCGCGCAGACGGGCAGCAGTCGGCCTGTCGTTCAGCTGCGCAGGGCTGTGGTACTTGTATGTTACTTACTACCACAAGTATAATGTTGAGGTATGCCCAGAAAAAACGTTTATAGCCCCGGCCTGTATTAGAGACCGGCCATTATTTACCTCCTCTGACAGCGAGGCCGGCCATTATTAGAGACCCGGCCGCTATTGGAATACAGGCCAATATTAGAGAATTTACGGTATATATGTATATATATATATATATATAAACATTATGCATTTAAGATTTTTTTTTTTATCTGTCTGTCAATCTGCTCTAGCCAGAACTCTACAAGTGGAAAAGTTTTAGTTTCACCTTGTTCAATTTGGTAAAAAGTCTGTCATGATTGTTCCCTTTCTTGACTTTTTCTGTTAAAGTTTTCTTTTTTAGTTCTCATTCATACTTTATTTTATTCTGCGTTCATCAATATTTATACAGTTGTTGAATTCTTAGTTTTACTCTCCCTTGTTATTTCTTTCAGTTATCGCTTTTCAGAATTTCTGTTGTTTTTAGCAGATGCATCATGTTGAGAAATACGTTCAGTCAGTTAGAAACAGGTCTTGTATCGATCTGTGCAGTATCGGGCGATACCGATACCATAATAATGTAAAATAATTGCCATCATTTCTTTGTCAAGCTGCTGCCTACCTTTGTGAAGCAGGAAAAAATCTAATACAAAGTGAATCCAGTAGAACTTTTTATTGCCTACTTAGAATGGGTGACAATAGTTGAATAAACTTTTGGCTCAAAATGGTATCTGTGTCCTATTTGTTGGTACTCGCCGATACCGATACCACCATTTTAGGGCAGTATCGGGGCCCCGTCCGACACTGGTATCGGTGCAATACTAGTTTCTGGTTCATTTGCTTCTGTACTATTAACAACTTCATTAAATCTGCAATAAATCCTCTCTGCCTCTCCGTCTCTGCATCTGGGTCATCAACAAACATGGTCTTCTTTAAAGGACCTCCAGCTATCCGCTTATTAAGCGATTAATTGAAAAATAACTGACAGATAAATCGATTTGCTAAATAATTGTTAGTTGCAGCCCTAGTTCACAGTTCTGCATGTAAACTAGGTAGTGTCAGGGTGAGGGTCTTTGTTAGGGCGGAGAAATGAGAGGAAGTGTGTGTGTGAGGGGGGGTGTACCTTGAGGCAGGCTTGTTGGGGGGGCAGGTTGGTGCCTCCTCCTACAGTCCCCACCTCTATAGAGGGCATGGTGCAGCTGATGTACAGGTCCTTCCCCTCCGGTCCGGCTGGCTCCATCAGAGTGATGCAGTTACTGCTGCCCACTGACTGGGCTGGATCCTGCGGTTCAGAAGCGTGTTTAATGCTCAGCTGAAACCAACTGCCGCACTACGACTCAGCAGAACTAGTTTACCTGGCCGCAGGCTATGTAGAGGGCAGCCACCAGGTTGGCAGCGTGTGCGTTGAATCCACCGATGCTACCCGCCATGGCTGAGCCCACCAGGTTCTTACTGATGTTCACCTCTATCAGTGCTTCTGTTGTCGTCTTCAACACCTGAGAAATGGGGAAAAACAGGGAGATAAAGACCACTGGAGATGTTTGCTAAAAGAGAGCTGTTCCTCTCCACCAGCACCACAGGCTTGCTCAGATTACTGAACTTTGACTGGATTTGTAGAAAAGCTGGATGACTATCAGGCAGAACAAAGATCTAAAACCTAAAGTTAACTAGAGACTGTCCTCTACCCTTAAAGGAAACCGGTTTTTATGGTCATCTCCTAAATCTGTTCAGTTATCATTATTCAGCTCTCACTAAAATCCACTGATCCCAGTATGTCCTCTAATCTCTGCAGTCCTGTAATAATCCTTCGCTAAAGAGAAGGATTACGTCATTCTTGTTGCTCTCTGTTATTGGCTCTCAACTTGGAGACCCAAAATCTGCAATAAGAATTACGATAAAAAACATAAAATTTGATAGTTTGGACATTAAATGAAATTGAACAAAGAAAAACAAGTAGACAATGTAGAAAAAGCGCAGAGCAGCAGGGTTTAAATGTGCGTTTTTGCTGTACTGTCCTACTTTATTAAAGGAGCTTCAGAGAAGTTTTAACAAAACAAAAAATCCAGAAAATATTTAACCGGGACAAAATGCTTTTCACTGATCTTGTAGTTCTGTTTCAGTCCTAGCTATCTTGGCTCATTTCATTTACTCTGATCTCAACCTGTTTCCTGTGCAGGAAAAGAAGTGAGAAGAAAAAAGATATCCTGCATCCTACTAAAAGCACCCATTGGTGGAAATGCATAAACACAAAGCCTATAAAACAATCAATCAATTTGTACGCATCTGATCTGAGGATGTTATTATCAGAGCTGGATAATCCAGGTCCAGAGAGTGAAAAACTTGTTTTCCTTCATCCTGTTCGCTTAGGCAGGTGATTAGCTCCTCAGGTGATTATTCTGTGTTTTGGAGCTAAAAAGAAAAATGGTTGGAACTGATCCCTGTACTGGACCTGGAATATCCACCTCTATAATCCTGCAGAAAATGTGCAGCCTTTAACGCTGCTCTCTGTGCAGAGTGGGCCGACTCCTCTTACCTCCTGGACCACCTTTGCAGGGATGGTAGCCTCACAAACAGCCGACTTGCCCCTGCCTTCGATCCAGTTGATGGCAGCAGGTTTCTTGTCTGTGCAGTAGTTCCCACTGACAGCAACAACCTGCAGCTCAGGGAAGTGCTGCTGCAGTCTGCTCAGAGCCTTCTCTGTGCCCTGCAGACAGACAGTTTTCCTTTAAAACAGGGCGCTTCTCTGAAGCGGTGAACACCAGTTAAGACAAACATTTCCCCGTAACGTCTGACCTGCACTGTATGGAAATGACTCAAACTAAATACGAGTTCCCTGAGGAGGAACCACATCTCAGGTTTTCCAAAGGAAGCCAACCTAGATGGCTTTGAAATATTTGAAGAGGTTTGTGATGATATGAAGATTATCTCCTCATGGTTACCTTGGAAATCATATTCATTCCCATAGCATCTCCTGTTCTGCACTGGAAGCGAATGTAAAGATTTCTTCCCGCCAGGCCAACCAGCAGCTTCTGTAGCCGAGCAAACCTGCAGATAAATGATGAAAAAAAATTAAACGTTGTTATAGAAAACAAAATGTTAACCTACAAGGTCTGGAAGAGAAGCCAAGCTTACCTGCTGGTGTTGTTAAAAGCCTCTGAGATGTCCTGAAAACCATCTGGGCTCTCCAGCCAGGCCTTGACCTCTGCAGCCATGCAGGCAGACGGGAGTCGGACTACAGGGCCGCGAGTCATGCCGTCAGCCAGGATACGGCTGCTGGCTCCTCCAGCCAGCTAAAGCAAGCAGGGAAAAAGGGAATTAGGCAGACGGTCAGTCATGCTCTGCAGGAATTCCAACTTTAAAATATAAAACATCCACTAAGAGAGAACTTGGTTCTTGATCTCTCTGCTTTGAGTAAACTCTACAGTTCATGTCAAAGCCTTTAGACCTTAATGAAGTTCAGGTGGTTTCTGCAGCACAGCTACGGCTCATTTCCTGTCTGTTTGGGTTCTTCAATGTTAGGAACAAACATCTTTGTTAAAAATTTAATTTATCGCTCTATTTTAGAATAATCTACTGCCACGATCTGGAAGAGACATCAGTAGCTGCCGATCTACAGCTACCTTTGAAGTCAAGATGTTTTCTGATTGGAAATGAGACAAGCATTTCCCAGTGATAATAAGACAAGGTATGACGATGAACTGCATCCTAAAGACAATATCCTTAGACCTAAAATAGGCGGAGTGGTGTCTGCAGTTCAATGCAGGGAGGAATGTTCTGATTTTTAGATTGGAGAAACCAAACAACCTCTCTACAGACGCATTGTCCAACACAGGAGAGCGACTTTCTTCCGGACAAGACTCGGCTGTACATCTACACCTTGTTGACAAGGGACATTCTATTGAAGACCAGAATGTTCATATTTTGGACAAAGAAGACAGGTGGTTTGAAAGTGGCGTGAAGGAAGCCATCTATGTTAAGAGAGAAAAACCAACCTTAAACAGAGGAGGTGGACTCAGGTTTCAGCTCTCAAAAACCTATAATGCGGCGATAGAGTTGATTCTTTCCTGCGATTAATTCAACCCCCATGCAGGGGACAAAACATCTCGCCTACAGCCCGGCCAACAATTGCCACTAACGACCTCCCCTTTCAGAGGCATAGACCAGCATCGGGTATTGCAGGCTAACAAAGAACCCAAAACGACTCCCCATTCCTAAGGGGCGAACCACTTATTGTGATTCAATTTGCTTGTTTTCTAAGCCAAAACAAGGCTTTTGGGCTACTATATAAAGCTTCAAACTCAATGCTAATTCTGACATCTTAAATTGAAAAAGCTTCCTGGATGGGAAGCACAATGTCTTCCAACTCGGAAGAGAGTCCAGTGGATTGTTTTTTAACTTTTATGGAATGACTATGTATGAGGGGAACAACAACCTTCCCTCTATTCAAAGAAGAACCTTTATTGGGGGAAAAAACGGCAACCAACACTTCTGCTAATAGTTGGAGATGTTTTTCATGTCACCACTGGCATCTCTGACCATTCATCTTTTATACTAAGGCAATTTTCCCAACACCCTTATCTTCCCACAGGTTCTGTTACAGATTTAAAGGAATAGTACACCCAAAACATGATTAGCCTTCATTTTCTACTCACCCCCATGCTGAACAACACTCTGGAGTACTTTTTTGATATC